TAAATAATACCTTACTAATAACATACTGAAAGCAAATTTAACAATATTTAAAGTTTCTAAATATATTACTTACCGTTCTTATAAATAAGTCATAAAAATATTAATACCAAAAAAACAAAAAACAAAAAAACCCTCTGCCCTCTTTAATCTTCAGTTAATTCTATTAACAATGTTTTATATCACTAGTTAGGAACCAAAACAGTGATTCATATCACAAACATAACTGTAGGTAGATTTATTATTCACTGGAGTCATGAAGAAAATTCCACACCTGATTGAGAGACCTTTAAGGTTTGAAACACATATGCACATTCTATATTTACTGTAATCCAATACAATTCCCTATAGAGAAATAAATTTCTATTGCCTCTTTCTGTTACTTACATTTTTTTCATCCTTTCCATTTTCTGGATTGTTGTTTCCTTTAATTTAAAAAGCAACATATTTAGGTGATTTCTCAAAGTCAACCATGATCAAAGATGGACCCTGAACATATAAAACACAGTCTAAAACATTATGGCAAGTACTATTAACTTATCAGAAAGAATTTTTATGAGAGATTAAGATTTATATACTTTCACTATTTTTCTTGCCAGCAGTATAATACAACTAAAATTAATACTTGCTTGCTCTCCTGACCTAAGAAAGGAAATCATCTAAGCATTTGCCAGTTTTCCTTACCTCTGAATTATCTTTCAAACCACAGTAATTAATAGTCAAGTTTCTAGAAGTTGAATCTGATGATGATGTACTGTACCCAGAGGATAGAGGAAGACTTGTTGGTCTTTCTTCTTTGCTTGTGATATCTGTAGAGAAATTCACTTTTAGTTAACTTCTTCTTACTATGCAGTCAAGTATTTAAAATTGTTATTTATATATATAAGAAAAACAAACTTATTATTTTAATACAAAATGGTTACTAGTATAGATCCAGAATAAACTTTTAATAATCTTTTAGGATAATGGTCTAGATGCCAAAAACTGACCAGTGAAAAGTACAGAAAATATATTAACTATCAATATGAATAAGGAGATAAGTTAATAATAATTTGTATATTTATGAATCAGGCTGCAAACCTTAAGGTTAGCAGTTCGAAAACTACCAGCCGCTCCACGGGAGAAAGATGAGGCTTTCTGCTCCCATCAAGATTTACAACCTCGGAAACCCTAAACAGGGTTGCTATGAGTCGGAACCAACTCCATGGCACATAACCAGCACTTCTACATTTTCTTAAAATGGCAGCAGTAATATTAAATAGTGACTATCAACAAAATCTGTCATGACACTTTAATACAGCAATATCTAAGCATTTCACAGTTTTTTTTCACTATTGATTTTGGCAGGTGACAACTATTCCTAAAACTGACTATATATACTTTTTACCAATCAAGAAACATTTTGAGTTAATGCATATGTAAAAAATGTGCCGAGAATTTGGAATTCAATCTTCTAACTATAACTTTCCATTTCTATATTTATATGTATATTCAGCAAAATGAAGGCAAAGCTTCCCTACAATGAAATTAGAAAACCAGAACTAACTCAACAGCACTTAATAATTATTAAAACAATATGTTTGATTTCAAGGGTTAGTAATATCATATATTCCATAAAAATTCCAAGGCATCAAATTCTATAAATATCAAACTCACCATCTGAGAATGCTACTATATTATGATGTAATTACAATTCTTACAAAAAATACATAAAGTAGCTAATTAATTATGCTTTTTAAAAACAAAATATATAAAGCAACACTTGTTAATGCTAAAACATTGCTTTTAAAAACTGATAACACGTGACTAAAAATAATTATCACTGAAAGGGACTCTTTTGAAGATGTTCAAGACTGTTAAAGACTTTCGTTCCCACATTTTATAAACTAGAGGCAACCGTTGGGTTACAAAGGAGATCTGTCTCTGTATATCTGTTGGAATAGGTACATAGGGTAACTATGTGTTGGAATTGACTTGATGGCAGCAGGGTCTTTTGGTTTCGTTTAGAGCATTGATTCAAATGTTAAGCGAAGGCGATTGTGAAGATGAGCAAGATGGACCACGTCCAAAGCCATGCATAAAGGACAATCAGTTGTCTGTAAGTCATTCATAACATGGGGATTGCCTGTATTGGATTTTACATTGTTTCAGAACAAAAACATATATTTTGGAGTCATAGTACTAGCTGTGTGATGAGAAAATAAACTCAGCAGTCACATCTGTTAAATTAGGGTTTTATTGTTGTTGTTAGGTGCTGTTGAGTAAATTTCGACTCATACTGACTCCATGTTACATAGTGGAATTGCCCAACAGACTTTTCTCGGTTGGAATCTTTACCGAAATAGACTGCCAAGTTTTCTTCCCATAAACCACTGGGTGTGCTTAGCCATGCCAACCTTTCAGTTAGTAGTTTTAACCATTATGCCACGATTAAAGTGGTGAATTAATGCTCTCTGAATCCAAATGAACTCAAACCCCTGGCTCCAAGTAGCATGGCAGAATGTGTTAAGTTTTATAAATTTGACTCTTAATTTATACAGACCAGATTATGAAGTCTTGGTGAATGGTGGTGGTGGTTATATACCGTGGAGTTGGTTCCGACTCATAGCAACCCTGCACAGGGTTTCCGAGGCTGTAAATCTTTATGGGAACAGAAAGCCTCATCTGTCTTCCACAGAACAGCTGGTAGTTTCGAACCATTGACCATGAGGTTCGCAGCCCAATTCATAACCACTATGCTACCAGAGCTCCTTTGGTGAATAGGTATTATGAAATGAATGTTGTTCCCAAAAGTTATATGTCGTAAATCCTACCCTCTAAGCCTGTTGTTATAATCCCATTTGTGAATGGGTTGTCTTTGTTATGTTGATGAGACAAGATTAGTGTGGGGTGTGTCTTAAATCTTGTATTTTGGAGGCTATAAGAGACTAAACATGCAAGCAAAAAAAGCAGAGATGGAGGAAGACTGATGCCAAGTCACATGGAGATCTCCAAGGAATCAGGAAACAAGATGAAGAGGCAAAGACCTTCTCCCTGAGCCAACAGAGCTGGACTTGAATTCAAACTTCTATCTTCCTAAATTGTGAAAAAATGAACTTGCTATAGCCACCCACTCATGGTATTTCTGGTACAGCAGTAGTAGATAACTAAGACACTAGGTATTTACCTTATTCATAATCTATACTTCATTTCAGATTAAGGCCTATCTGGTTTATTGCTCTAAATCCTAGCACAGTGGTTTAAATTTTATGTTTACATAAATGGGTCAAAAGTATGTCCTATAATAATATATATATATAAAATCAAACCGTTTTATAATCATTAATGAGATTTATGTAGTAACTTTCCTATACATAAATATTGAAAGTAAGTCTTAAACATGTGAAATATTATAAACCTCTTACAAGTTTGAGACTTACTTCTAATATTTATGCATAGGAAAGTTATTACATAAATGTAAAAGTTAATTCATACAAGTCACTTCATATATGTAAGAGGCTTATAGCACTTCACGTTTGAGACTTATTTCGAATATTTGTATATACATGGGAAAGTTACTACTTAAATTAAATCAGAAACTTTGGAGGTTTATTTTTATTATACTAGAGTCCTGGTGTGGTGTTGTAGGATAAATACAGGACCACAAGGATGGTGTGAACCACAAGGTTGGCAGTTCAAGCCAACCAGCTGCTCCTCAGAAACCCTACACAAGGTAGCTATGAGTCAAATCTACTCGACAGCACATGCCCACACCATCACTAGAGCACTGAGCAATTAAATGAGTAGAACATTTGAAAGTCCCTAACTTTGTGGAATTTATTCAGCTACTCTATGAAAGCTGGTTTCTTAAATTCTCATTGGCTTCAGTAGTCTGTAGGTTCATATTTTCTTGGCTTCTAGGAGTTTTGGAATTTCTGCAAAAACTCAAGCTTAAGAATAGTAAAATAACCAAACTCTTTATTATACTGCCAATACCAGTATTACAAGAACTTACCAGAATTTAGATAATCCATGTGCCTACTAGTAACAGAGCCTTCATTCATTTCATTAAACTCTATATAGTCATCATTCTGAAACAATATTATTTAGCATTTAGAATAAGAAAAATATAACTTAATATTCTTATTGTCAAGCATAAAATGGCATAAAATATCTTTAATTACTTTTAATTATTTATAAAGCAATACATAAATATTTCTGTGTATAGAAAATGATCTTTTAAATGGGCAATCAGATAATGTTGCTTTCTTGGAAGGAAAAATAGACCAGATATTGGAATTCCTGAGTAAATTAACAAACAAATTTGATAACAATCGTAAATCCAGTAACTATGTCTATATAAGTCACAATATGACTGAGGCAAATGAGAAAAGGAAGTAAAAGTTACACTTTAAAGTTTTCCTTTCCTACCAGTATTTCTTTTCCTTACCCTATGAAAATACATCATTTGTGCTAAAAAAAAAATACATAAAATAACAATTTTATGCATTTCATAAACAAAATCAATGTTGTCTTACATAATTTTACAATCCTTTAAGTAGTATTACTAGCTTTAAGTACTCAATTTACAGATTTGTCAGATTGTTTTATTTTATACATTAAAAACACTAGCCACAAAACAGATGGTGTATAATTAGGACTTTATTTTAACTAAATACTCCCTTACTGCTAAATGTTCTTCTATTAAGTACTTCCAAAGGAAAAACACATATGAATTAAGAAAACACTTTATTGTATCTAAGATATTTTGTTAAGATTGAAAAAATACCTGTTTAGACAAAAGCATTTCTGTTTCAAGAAGAGTGACACGGCTTAGAAGATTAGTCCAGGTCTTTTCATTTACCATCACTTTTCCTTTCATTTTTTCTTCTAAACATTCTATCCTACTCTCTAGCAAACTAAGCTTCTTAAGTTTCTCTTGACATTCAGCAAGCACAGTCTGTAGTGCAGTGATCTCAGGATTCAATTTCATCTCCTATAATGATTAGACAGATTAATAATAATGTTACAGAAACTGAAATCCTTTGAAAACTAGTGCATTCCCATTTCCATTATGTCATTTCAATAGCTAAGAGATACACCACAGCAGGACAGTTAAGAACACTACCTCTGGAAGCAGACTACTTGGATGCTAAAACAAGCCATCTTAGTTGTATGATTTTGACAATTATACCTATTATATATGGTTCTTGTGAGGATTAAATGAATTCAATTTGTAAAAGCTTTGGGAACAATATTGCGTGACACCAGGGGCTCTGGTAGTGTACTTGTTACAAGTTGGGCTGCTAACCTTAAGGTCAGCAGTTTGAAACTACCAGCTGTTCCGTGGACAAAAGATGAGGTTTTCTGCTCCTGTAAAGATTTACAGACTCAGAAACCCTTTGCAGGGTCGCTATGAGTTGGAACCGACTTCACGGCACACCACTACCACAATAGACATGGTATGAGCTAGCTTCTTGTAATGATACCTAGTGCAAAACTAAGAAAAATTAACAAACAAACAATAACAAAACACATCTAATGCACTGAGATTTCTCAGTTTGCCCTCTATCAGGAAATAAGCCCAGAGGTCTCTTAGTAGATTTTGCCCATTGTAAAAAGAACTATGTAGATGTCACAGATGGTAGAAAAACAGAAAAGGTTTAACAGAAGCAATTGACAGTAAGCATTATAATGGGGTCTCTGATGAAAGAGATAACTTTTTTTGTGTGGCTAAGAGCTCTGGTAGTGTAGTGGTTACGAATCGGGCTGCGAACCTTAAGGTCAGCGGTTCGAAACTACCAGCTGCTCCGCGGGAGAAAGATCAGGCTTTCTACTCCCGTAAAGATTTACACCCTCGGAAACCCTGTACAGGGTCGCTATGGGTCGAAACCGACTCGACGGCACTTAACAACAACAACAACAACAACAAGTACCATGAAGTTGGTACTGACACTTAGTGACCCTGTGTAAGGTTTCTCAGGAACAGCTGGTGGGTTTGAATTGCCAACCTTGTGATTAGCAGTCCAGTGCTTATCCTAAATTATGACAGAAAAGGACAGCAAGGACCAAAAAACGGGGAGAGATGTAGTGATGTGCCAAACTTTTTCATTCATTAATATAGGGAACATATAGTAGAGAACCTTGATTGTATAAAGTAGTACAGATAAACTATTTCCCACAAGACTTAAACCCCTTGAGGGCAAGCATCATGTCTTATTCATCTTTGCATTACCCAAAACATCTAGCTTAGTACTCATCCTAAATGGCAAAGAAACTCTTCTGAATTATTTTCAGTAAGATTTACTGATTCTTAAGTAACAGAAAAATAGGTAATATGTCACAATAAGTAATTCAGAGAAGTGAAACATTTCAAAGTTTAGGATGAAAATAATTACATTAAAGTAAGAAATACTGTTATCTGTATAAAAAGTCCAAAAAGCTTACAGGCTGCTCAGACTTGATTTCAGGGACCTTTATTTCAGGTATATTTATTTCAGTAGACTTTATGTCAGACACATCAAATTCTTCATTAACATCTGTTACTGTACTTAATGTATCTTCAGGCATGTCAGCACTATTTTCATTATACAAGTGACGAATCACCACAGCTTTTTTCTGGATAGAGAAAAATACGTTAAGAGCTGCTAGTATGTTTTTCTCAAACTATTATTTTAAACCAGCACATGGTAATTTCAAAATGAAAAATATGATCTTCATTTTATGATTTGCAAAGGTTTGCATGATCATGTATAACATATATGTCAAAGGATAAGTTATTAATATTTATGTTTTGCATATAATGATATAATTTTTTAAAAGCAATCTTAGAGTTTAGAAAAAATGATATAAAATGATGAGTGGGATCTGTTTTAAAATGTTCCAGCAATGCACAGGAGAGCAGCATTGATGAAAGTGGGAAGAATAATGAAAAACAGGATTAGCAACAATTTCATAAATTGTTAAAACTGGTAGATGGTTAGTTTTACAATGTTTTAACATTTCCATAATCAATAAGTTAGGAAAAAAGCTTCTGAAATAACCTAAATTGAATTAAGCCAGAACTATCTTTGTAAGACTCAATTATTTTTCTACTTAAGCAAAATATTAGATCTTCAACTAACAACTCAAGCTTAACAATGACAAAAGAAAAGACATGACAATAAGGCATTAGGGTCAAACTATATACAGGATTCTATGGCTAACTTCCTTTTTCAAATATTCCACATATGTACTATAAAAACATAACATATGTGATACAGAAGTCATAGAAAGTATTTTACAGAAGATACTGGAAAGGAAGACAATTTGCTTTAATACTATTTCAACTTTGTCTATAAACCAAAAATTATATTTATTACCTCATATTTTCCAAAATTTGAGAACTTTTAATAGGTTTTCAAATTTCAGTAACTAAAGATATGCAATTGATTAACTTTTAATGGATAACAAAACATTCTTTATTTTAAAATAATAAAACAAGTTTAATGTCATGGTAATTAGAATCTCCATTTGTTAGACCACAACAATACCCCAATACTGAAATCAAGATTGAAAAGTATATTTAACTATATCAACTCATATTTAGAAATCTGCAACTCATGTATTTCAAATTAAAGCTGAAATAATTCTCCATATTTTATTTCAATCAGAAACTATTCATATCTGTTCTCTTATTGTCGTTGTTGTTAGGTACCATTGAGTTGGTACCGACTCATAACAACCTTATACACAACAGAACAAAACACTGCCCGGTCCTGGGCTAACCTTACAATTGCTGTCACACAACATTGATGCTGCCACTTTGCCAATCCATCTCGCTGGAAGTCTTCCTCTTTTTCTCTGACTTTCTACCTTACCAAACGTGATATCCCTCTCCAGTGACTGGTCCCTCCTGACAGTCTGTCGAAGTATGAGAGATGAAATCTGGCCATTCTGGACTCCAAGAAGCACTCTGGCTACACTTCTTCCAACACAGATCTGTTTGTTCTTTTGGCAGCACATGGTACTTTGAATATTCTCCAACACCATAACTCAAATGCATCAATTCTTCTACCATCTTCCTTATTCACTATTCAACTTTCACATGCATATGAGGTTATTGAAAATACCAGGGCTTGGTTCAGGTATACCTTAGTCCTCAAGCTGACATCTTTGCTCTTCAACACTTGAAAAACGTCTTGTTCAGCAGATTTGCCAAATGCAATAATACGTCATTTGATATCTTGACTGCTGTTTCCATGAGTGCTGATGATTGATCCAAGAAAAATGAGGTCCTTGACAACTTCAGTATTTTCTCCATTGATAAGAATGTTGTTTATTGGTCCAGTGGTGAGGATTTTTGTTTTCTTTACATTGAGATGCCATCCATACCAAAGGCTATGCTCTTTGATCTTCATCAGTAAGTATTTTAAGTCCACTTCACTTTCGGCAAGCAAGGTTGTATCATCTGCATATCACAGGTTGTTGATGAGTATTCCTTCAATCCTGATGCCAGGTTTTTCTTCATATAACTCAGCTTCTCGGCATATTTGCTCAGCATACAGGTTGAATAAGTATGGTGAAAGAATACAACCCTGTTGCACATTTTTCCTAATTTTATACCATTCAGTGTTCCCACGTTCTGTTCGAACAACTGCCTCTTGGTCTATTTACAGGTCCCTCATGAGCACACTTAAGTGTTCTGGAATACTCATACTTAGCAATGTGTCCATAGCTTGTTATGACCCACACAATTGAAGGCCTTTGTGTAGCCAATAAAGCATAGGTAAACATCTTTCTGGTATTCTCTGCTTTCAGTCAAGATCCATCTGATATCAGCAATAATATTCTTCGTTCTACGTCCTCCTCTGAATCCAACTTGAACCTCTGGAAGTTCTCTGTCAATGTTCAGTTGCAACCATTTCTGTATTACATTTAGTAAAACTTTACTCACATGGGTTATCATTTCTCTTATTGTTGTTGTTGTCAGGTGCCATCAAGTCGGAACCGACTCATAGTGACCCCATGCACAGAAGAATGAAACCGAATCCTGGGCCAACCTCACTACCGCTGCCACAATTGATTCCATCAATGATGCCACCTGGCTGATCCATCTTTTTGGGGGTCTTCCTCTTTTTCTCTGACCCTCCATCTTACCAAGCATGATATCGTTCTCTAGCGACTGTTCCCTCCTAACAATATGCCCAAAGTATGAGAGACAAAATTTAGCCATCTTGGCCTCACTGATTATTCATATGGTCTCATCTTTCAGTTCCAGACAGAGTTTATTCCAAAAAGAAGACAGCAGAAAGTTCATTTATGATTATAAAATAATATTTTGGCTTCAATGTCCTTTGGAGACAGGAAAATTATATCTGTAAGGTGTGCCTGACCCCAAGCTATGGTGTTTTTAATAGTTTCATATGCATGTGAAAGATGGACAGTAAATAAGGAAGACCATAGAAGAATTGATGCATTTGAGTTCTGTATGGTGTTGGAGAAAAATATTAAAAATGCAATGGATTTCTAAAAGAACAAACCAATCTTTGTTGGAAGAAGTACAGCCAGAACGCTCATTAGAAGTTAGGATGGAAATACTTCATCTCTCATACTTCAGACATATTATCAGGAGGGATCAGTCCATGGAGAAGAACATCATGGTTGGTAAAGTGGTTGTTGTTATGGTTATTAAGTGCCATTGAGTTGGTTCTGACTCATAGTGACTCTGTGTAAGGTTTCCAAGGAGCAGCTGGTGGGTTTGAACTGTTGACCTTGTGATTCACAGTCCAGTGCTAATCCTACAGAGCCACACTAGGAGTTGGAGAGTCATTGAAAAAGAGGAAGGTCCCAGTGAGATGGAGTGACACAATGGCAGCAGCAATGGGCTCAAGCTTAGCAACAATTGTGAGGATGGCACAGGACTGGGCAGTGTTTCATTCAGTTGTGCATAAGGTTGCTATGAGTTGGAAGCAACTTGATGGAACCTAACAACAACAACAACAAACTCATTGGATTAATTCAGTTGCTGATGATCAAAGCACTATCTATCCATTAGCATAAGAGAAATATCCTAAACAATAATCAGAAACCAGATTGCCAGTTTAGGTACTATCACCACATAATTCATACTACTGGATAAAGAAATATGAATGTACATAAATGAATCATAGAAGCTATTATCATTATTAATGGTTGTTGTTGTTGTTAGGTGCCATCAAGTTGGTACTGACTCATAGCGACCCCATGCACAGCAGAACAAAACATTGCCCTATCCTGGGCCAACCTCACTACTGTTGCCACACTTGAGTCCACTGATGCTTCCACTTGGCCAATCCATCTCATTGGGGATCTTCCTCTTTTTCTCTGACCCTCCACCTTACCAAACATGATATCCTTCTCCAGCAACTGGTCCCTCCTGACAATATGTCCGAAGTATGAGAGATGAAGTTTGGCCATTTTGGCCTCCATGGAGCACTCTGGCTGCACTTCCTCCAAAATGGATCTATTGGTTCTTTTGGCAGCCCATGGCACTTTCAATATTCTCCTCCAACACCATAACTCAAAAGCATCAATTCTTCTATGGTCTGCCTTATTCACTGTCCAGCTTTCACATGCACATAAGGTTATTGAAAATACCATGGCTTCGGTCAGGTGCACCTTATAGTCCTCAAGCTGACATTATTTTTTTAAATACCATTATTAATGGTAGATTCTTCATATTTTCCCATCTATTATGAAGACCAGATTTGTCAGTAAAAACATATAGTCAGTATATGACTATGTAGCTTTCTTAAGTCATTACTGTTCTGTCAGATAAATAAAGCAGAATTAAGAATTAGAAACACAAAAGTCAGTTCAATTTTACATTTCTATCCTTTTCTTATAACTTTAGGAATGTTCTCCAGAAAAATATACGATCCACATTTTTAGAAAGTCTCTACATGCTAGTATCTGACTCATATATTTTACCAGGTGCAAGTCAGAAAAGTGAACTTCATATCATGGATTAATTAGAAAGATAATTTACTCAAATTATATGACACATTTCCTCTTTCCCATACCTTTCCTGAAGTCATAAACCTCCCAGTGATGTCAACGCCAACAGGTTCTGTACATGTTTTCTCATTACCTGAAGGCTCTGACTTACCAAAACTGATTTTCTTTCTTTGTTGCAATGAAGTCTTTTAAAAAAAGAAAAAAAGATAAAGTATTAGAATAACATATCCTGTATGAAAATATGATGTACATTAAATTCAACTACAGCTTGGGTGTTCATATATGAAATATGACTACCAAATAAAACAATAATGAGACTGTATGCTTTTCTATATTTATAAGTGATGAAAATGTATTATGTTTGAACTGGTAGCTCAGGACTAGCAGCTCCAAGTCATAGACACGTAACAAGTCACTAGTGTTAAATGCAAACATCAAGCATTGCAAGGTTACCCAAATCTGTGAATAATGCTATGCATTCATTTCCTGTGTAGGGTATTGATTTTGTACATTAAAATTGTAGGTCACTTAGTGTGAGTTGGTATTAATCTATCCATAGAATTACCTTGTCAAGACTACTCAACTCCTTGTGCTTTTTCATCACACAATTCAAAATATCACAAATAATTTGTATTTTCCATTCTGCAAACCCACATTGGAGAAACTGTTTTTTAGTCAAAACTGGCTTGTAATTAAATTGATCACGGAGAAGCTGTAAAAAAGGGAACAGATTCATGTAATGATTAGGTTCAATTTCTTTCTAAAATCTTAAATGATAAACAGCCACCTTTTCAGAGGAAAAAGAGGAACACGCTATTAACTAAAAGCTACTAAAGAGAAATCATAGGAACAGTATGAGTCATGACTAGGAAGAAGAGATATTCAGAAAGAAAACAGGTAAATAGGGATCTGCCAGATCCCTGGTAACTCAGTGGTTAAAGTGCTCAGCTGCTAATTGAAAGGTCAGTGGTTCAACCCCACCAGGTGCTCCACAAAAGAAAGATGTGGCAGTCTTATTCTATAAAGACAACCTTGGAAACCTGATGGGGGAAGTTTTGCTCTGTCTTAAAAGGTGGCTATGAGTTGGAGTCAATTTGATGGCACTGAATTTGGTTTCTTGTTTTGTTTTTCAGTAGGGGTCTACTGGAGAATAGATAGTTATATACTCAATTAAAATAGTGATAGAAAAGTGGTAAGACTGCACTTTATCGAAGGCTGAGAACTTTCCAGACCCAGAAAAGCAAGGCAGTTCCGTCAAATTCTAGTACGCACAGGTTTCACGGTAGTTCACCAACAAAAAGTTCAAATATCCTCATAGGTACTAGAAAAACTCTTTAAATCACTAGAGAAGAAAGAATACTATACCAAATATATCAGAAAACTATAAAACTATTTGCTTATAATTCATTCACTGTGTGGTTTTTTTTAGAAAAGTCAGTTGGTCTCTGAGACTCAAGCAAACAAGATTAGACCTATAATTTTCAAAACACACTCTGTGGAACCATGACATTTCTCAGAAGTGCCTTTTAGTCATCAATTAAAGGCTTCTGGAGATTAGAGTTAAAGAAGGGAAGATGAAACAGAAAGTCTACATATAAAAGTTCCCATTTCATCCAATGTAATGCCACTTTTTTGTAAGATTTGATTTGATAAATGGGCTTTATCATTAAAAAAAGTTCAACAAAGCTTAGTACTTGAGCAAAAATTAACAATAAAAAAAGACTAGACTATACATTCACTGATGTATAGACAAGTATGGGTACTAGATAAGATGCATATAAGACATGGTCTCAGAACTCAGTGAAAGTTTCAGTTACTTTTTATAAAAAATTAAAGTAATTCATAATTAAGTTGAAATCTATGAACTACAAATTTTAATAAATAAAATTACATTTCTAATTTCTGCTGGTGTATCAAATGTTGATAATTTACTAAAATTTTACATAACAAAGCAAATGATAGTCACTAACAAACGTTTATCAATTGTCACGTTTAACAGATTGTAAAGTATTTACAAAAGAAATGTGAACTACATCTTGATTTTACAAACTCATGGAAAAATGGAATTAAAAAATACTGGAATTCTTCCACGACCTTTTTGAAGTCTTCTCATATATATGAAAATACTGTCAACTGTGTGTGTTGCATACACTTAATTTTTACAAATCAACAAATTAACTTCTAAAATAAACTCAAAATACCTTATAGATGGCATCTATAAAGCGCAAGTCATTCTTTGCTATGAGCTCTACATTGGATTCCATCAGAAGTTCTGCTACATAAGGTGAATATGAAGTAAGAGAATAGCTGATGATTGGCAAAGATGCTGCTGTGTCTCCCTTTATCAACCTGTTAGGGGAAAAAAGTAAAGGGTGTTTAATGAGCATAAATCCACAAAGTTGCACAATCACGTCAATATGAGAAATGTTATCAATAATTTAGAACAATAGCCATAATTATTGCTGTTGTTGTTGTTAAGTACCGTGGAGTATGTTCCGACTCAGAGTGACCCTGTACAGGGTTTCCGAGGCTGTAAATCTTTACGGGAGCAGAATGCCTCATCTTTCTCCTGTGGAACCACTGGTAGTTTCGAACTGCTGAACTTGAGGTTGGCAGCCCGACTCGTAACCACTACACTACCAGAGCTCCTTAGCCATAATTATTAGGTGATCTATAAGATTGTCTAGATTCCATCTCCTATTCTAGTCTATAATTAATTATAAAATATAATTTTTCCTAAGCTCAACAATTTACCCTAATCTACCCTAATAACTAATGTCACTGAACAACTTGTATTGTTGTTGTTGTTGTTGTTAGGTGCCATCTAGTTGGCTCCAACTCATAACTACACTATGCCCAACAACAACAACAACAACAACAACAAAAAAACCCACTGCTCAGTCCTGCGCTATCCTCACAATTGTTAAGTTGGAGCCCATTACTGCTGCCATCTCATTGAGGGTCTTCCTCTTTTTCACTGACACTCAATTTTACCAAGCATGATGTCCTTCCTTAGCAGCTTATTCCTTCTGATAACATGTCCAAAGTATGAAAGACAAAGTGTCACTATCCTGGCCTCTAAGGAGCAGTCTGCCTATACGTCTTCCAACATAGATTTATTTTTATTTTTTTCTGGCAGCCATGGTACTTTCAATATTCTTTCCAACACCATGACTTAAATGTTTCAATTATTCTATGGTCTTCTTATTTACTATCCAACTTTCACATGCATATGAGGCTACTGAAAATACCGAGCCATGTGTCAAACATATTTTTATATCCTCAAATGGATACTTTTGCTCTAGAACACTTTAAAGAGGCCTTGTGCAGCAGATTTGCCTAATGCAGTATATCATATACAACAATCTATATGGAAATTGTCAAATTTCCATATTGTCAAATGGGAATCTAATTTTGTGGTGAATGTTTACCAAAAACACAACACAATGTTATTCGAAAATAAAAATAGAACACACAGGGTACAAAATTGTGAAAACTTCTTAGACATTACCAAATACCTTGAGGGCATAAGTCCCTTGGTCTAGGGGCTCATAACTTAGTCTGAGTGGACATGTTTACACCGGCCTAAAAGTCCATAAAGACAATGTTCAACTCCTACTTTGGTAAGTAGTGACTGGGATCTTACCAGTTCATGAGTGACCATCTAAGGTGCAAATATTGATTTCTCCCTGTCTGGAGATAAGAATGATGAAAATTGAAGACACTTGGAAACAATTAGTCCAATAAACACATGATCATCAGTCTTGGGCACCTTGAGGCCAGAACTAATGGTACCTGGTTACCACTACCAACTGCTCTGAAAGAGATCACATTACAAATTTTTGGATAGAGTCGTTGAAAATGTAGACTAAAACTCAATACCATGAAGAAGTCCAAGCTTACTGGTCAGATAATAACACTGGTTGAACAACGAGACTATGGCCTTTGATTACTCTTCAGGTCTGGAACTGAACTCACCCCTCTAATTCGAGTTTCAGCCAAGCAATAGTTAGGTATATTAATGTGACTGTTTTATGTGCCATCAAGTTGGTTCCAACTCATAGTGAACTTGTATAAGGCTTTGAAGGAGCGACTGGAGGGTTTGCACTGCTGACTCTGTGGTTAGCAGTCCAGTATTTATCCTATAGCATCACACTAGGACTCAGGTATATAGGGGGGCAAAAACACCAATGAAATTGTAGTTGTGGTTGTTGTTAAATGCTGAAGAGTTGGTTCTGATTCATAGTACCCTGTATAGGGTTTCTGAGAAGCTGGTGGGTTTGAAGTGCCAACCTGGTGGTTCAAATTGACTTTGTAGTCCAGTGCTTAACATACAGTGCCACACCAGGACTCCAGTGAGGTACACATACCATAAAATGGTTAATCATTCAAGGTCAAAAGGGCAGCATTTACCCAAGGACAAAACTCAGAAGGGTTGAGAAAGAAGGAGGAGCAGAAACAAGAAACACAGAGAGGTAGTAGGATAACTGATGTTACATTGAGGGAACTGCAGTCATATAGATGAAACTAACTATCTGATTTGTTGATATAAAACTGATGTTCTCACAATAAAAAATTAAGAAAATGAAAAGAACAAAATGATTAGTATAAAAGTAGTTGTAAAGTGAGTATTAAGAATAAAAAATCAACTAATTACAAATTTTTTAAATGGACAAATACCATGCAAAATATTAAAAAGTCAGTAAGAAAACAAAAAAGTACCTCAGTAGTATTTAATGATTTTCTAAAGCTCAGACTCACTTAATCTAGTCCATTTTCTATGACTAAAACAAATGGATATCACAGTGGTTAACTACACTTTATGGTTACACTTATTATATTACCTCATTTGCTTCCCACAGAAATCTACAGAGGTAAATATCATGACTTCTAAGTTACAAATGAGAAAAACATGGCTAGAAAAAGCATCTACTGTGAGTAGACTAGAGGCCCTGGTAGCACACTAGTTAAGTGCTTAGCTGCTAACCAGAAGGTTGGCAGGAAATTTGAACCCACTAGTAGAACCATGGAAGAAATATGAGGCAGTCTGTTTCCATAAAGATTTACATCCTTGGGAATCCTATGGACAGTTTCATGCTGTCCTATAAGATTAATTGTCCTATGGATTAATGAACTGAACTACAAAATCGGTTTGAACTGCAAGATTTACAGTTCAAGCTCACCAGCTAGCTGCTCCTGGGAGTCGGAACTGGCTCCACAGCATTTAACAACAACAAAAACATAGGCTTGTTGAGTTAGAATCAACTCATCAACAATGGCTTTTGTGGGGGGATGGGGGGGAGGCAAGATTAGGTTGGCTAGTTTAGTATCTTCTATTGTAGTGGTTATGAATCGGGCTGTGAACCGCAAGGTCAGCAGTTCAAAACTACCAGCTGCTTCTCAGGAGAAAGATAAGGCTTTCTGCTTCCGTAAAGATTTATAGCCTCGGAAACCCTATTCAGGGTCGCTATGGGTTGGGACTGACTTGACAGCACATAACAACAACAAATTTACATTAGGCTCATTCTAAATCTGTGCGTATGCTTATGTTGATTCCCATAGTCTAGAAAATTACCATAATCTTCTCTGCTATTCTTTATGAATCACTTGCCAAATTGTTCTTCCCATGAAGTCTTCCTCAACCTTCTGCTACATACTGATCTTTCCTAGAAAGACTCCCAGGGAATTCAGGATTTGTTACCTAATTCTCTGTCTTGCATTGTTTTCTCATTTTTATTTTCTTAATATGGAGCATCCTCACTGATTCTATCACAACACATAGGAGATATTTATTCAATTGAAGGAATAACTGTACTTATATAAAACATATTCAAGACACATAGATGGGGGTGGTGGTGTGCCATGGAGTCAGTTTCAACTCATAGCGACCCTGTACAGGGTTTCCAAGGCTGTTCTTCTTCAATTTTTAGGATAAGGCAGAGAATAATTATCTGATATTAACATTATATTTTATTTTTAGGACAGATATGAATTGTTTCCCTTTTTTAAGTTTCCTTAAGGGTACAGTAATATTTCACCCACAAGAAACAGCTCAGAAAAACTAGTCTATTTGGAATACAGGCCAAAAGCAGGAAATGAAAAATGTCTTTGATCAACAAAATAGTCCATTTTATGGATATAAGAAATAGAAGACAGCCAGGCCTACATTTAATATCTCTTTTTTTAAGTTTTTATTGTGAGGTTTACATGAGAGAACATCAGCTTTACACTCATCCTATCGTATTTCATTTCATTGCAATGATTACAATGCCCTCCATGCATCATTAAATACCCAAAGGGTACACCACACAGGCCCGCCCCCAACCACCAGCACACAGCCTTTCTCTCTCCCTGGGTCCAGTATCCCCAGCCACTCCATCTGTCCACGTAATCATTTCTGTCTCAATCCCTGGCGTCACTGCCTCTCTGGGTAGGGTCCTGATCTCCGTTCTTCTCACTTGATGGTCCCAGGGACCTTCACTCCTAGGTTGCAAAATCAATCACTCTTCTCATTTTGTCAAAAAACATCTACCACTATATTTCCTACCCTCACAGTCAGTCCTGATGACAATTATTCACTATTGTACCACAAGAGTCTTATCCCCATTTTCTTTTGCCAGCCCGGTCCCAACCGACTAGAAATCATTCAGTGGTGATTCTACCTTCCCCCGCCCCGTCTGGAACTAGGCTCCCTCTTGAAAACTTGTAAGCCAGTCACTTATTGTGTTTATAGGCCCCCCATTTGGGGTAGCCAATGTTTAAGTTACCCATCCCTGTCAGCCCTGTGTACCGAGGGGGTGGGAGTGATCCTTGCTGTACAGATTTGTTCCCCTTTTTTGAGCTACTACATCCATAAGTATAGGTAAAGTTCATCAAATTGTATCAGGTTACTTTTTTTTTTTTCTAGTCGAGTTCTGATCACCCAGCCACTGAAATCAGGTCAAGTGGGTACTATCTGCAATTATGGGTGTTCTTGTGCATCCTTCCCTCACTTCATATTAGCTGGACGCTTCACTCTCCGCTCTAGTCCTCTGTGGCCATGTGACTGCCTCTGGGCCCAGAAGTCCCCAGGTCTTGCCATATTGCTAGCCATCCAGGTCTCTACCCAGGTTCACAGGGGACTATTGAATGTGGTCAGGCTTCCTTCACAACTTCGTTGATGTTTTCCCCCTCTTCCCCTTATCAGTGATCAATGTGGTCACCAGCCAGACTACATGCCTGCTCATGTATTCCTCTGGAGTCTCAGTCTTGGAAAGGGGTTTGCTCTGAGGGGTCCCGGCCACTTTCCTTGATGGCTCACCGGTGAACAACTTACTTGTTCTTGTAGTAATCAATCAGACTGCTGTTGTTTTGGATTTTTCCTGCTGGTCTTTCTTTCACGGAGTATCTTCTGTTCTTCTAGCTGCTCCAAGCTGGTCTACTTATCCTTTCCAGTAGAAATTTCTTACCTCAGTCGGTTCTGGATGGGGTTCTGGATTCCACCTATGATCTTGTGCAATGTAAATGCTCCACAGGAAGTCTCTTTCACTGGGCAACTTCTAGACCCCTTTAAGGTATTCCAATCAGTTATAGGCTGAAGGTGGACTTACAAGCTTTCTGTAGTGATGATTCTGGCTTGATTCTGGCTATTCCTTTCTCCCACCTCAAGTGTCTATTTTACAATTGTAGGCAAAGGAAACCAAGATTCAAAAGACAGCCAAGCATCTTAACACTATTCCCCTTTTACCCCTTCAAATTGTGCCTCAATCCCTGTATCCTGGAGCTCTGTTGTTCCAAGGTTGTGCATACATCATCATTTACCTGTCCCACTTAGCCCATGCGAACCTGCCTAACTGTTCTCCCATCAGCCTTGTTCTTCCATTCCCCTTCCTCTTCTTGTGTACTACCCCCTCCCAGCCCCCTCCCCACACCCAAGCTCTCCTGTGTCTATTACCTACCCTGTGCTCTATCTTCCCCTCTCTCCCTCCCCTTCTTTCATCCCATACATCCTGGTGATCAACAAATATATATAATTTTTTTCCCCTTTTTTAGTGTAGGTTCTTTTTCTTACTCTTTTACAATAATGGTCCTAATACAGTATTTCTCCTTTTGTGACTGACTAATTTCACTCAGCATAATGTCTTCAAGGTTCATCCAAGTTATGTGGTAGCTTGCAGCTTCCTTGTTGTTCTTCAAGGTAGCATAGTATTCCATTGTGTATATGTACCACAGTTTATTTATCCATTCTTCCATTGATGGGCACTTAAGCTATCTCCATCTTTTTGTTATTGTAAATAGTGCTACTATGAACATTGGTGTGCATATATCTACTCGTGTTATGACTTGTATTTCTTGTGGGTAAATACCAAGTAGAGGAATTACTGGGTCATAAGGTATTTCTATTTCCAACCTTCTGAGGAAGCGCCATATTGCTTTCCAGAGTGGTTGGACCATTTAATATCTCTTAGTGGAAACAAGGAGCTCTGATAGCGTAGTGGTTACGAATCGGGCTGTGAACCTTAAGGTCAGTGGTTCGAAACTACCAGCCGCTCTGTGGGAGAAAGATGAGGCTTTCTACTCCCGTAAGGATTTACACCCTCGGAAACCCTGTACAGGGTCGCTATGGGTCAGAACCGACTCGATGGCACTTAACAACAACAACAGTGGAAACAAGGAGTCCTGGTGTGGGCCTGTGGGTTAAATGCAATGGACTGCAAGGTAGGTTTGAACCCCAAAGTCAGTGTAGTTCAAGCTCACTAGCCAATCCTTAGATACCCTATAGAGGGTTGCTATCAGTTGGAAGTTACTTGATGGTACTTAACAGCAACAAAAACAACAATATGAAACAATCTCAAAAGGCTTGCTTATCTGGCTTCTGATGAATTAACAGATGAGAAACACTAAAAAAACAGGTATTACAAACATGGTATAATGACAGCAAAAGGCAAGAAAAAATGTGATAAGAAATCAAAATATGCTGTATTTGTGTATGTGTACGAGGAGGCTTTTAAAAAATTTTGGTTTTGGTTGTAAAATTTTTGCGGAAAAATTAAAGATAATTAAAGTTTCCCACTAACCTTTTGAAGCCCCTTCATTTATATGCAGCAATCTAAGTCTCATAGGAAAGAAGCCTTACCTATCATAACAGACCCTAAAGTTAACACTATGTTATAGAATAATCTAACAATTATTGTTCATGATGCACTTAGGTCAATAAGAAAATTTAATGTTCATATTTTCTGCTCAGAAAATTTGAGAAAAGAAGTATAATTTAGTATTATATTTTATAAAAGGTGTTTTATAAAAATATTGAAGCTTAAAATGATAAGCAAAAAACTTGAGTATTCAAACTACCTAAGGCACAGCAAATTCAGTATAGTTGAGGTTTTCCTATGTTTTGAAGTAAGGTATGATGGGTACATGCTGGGAATTTGTAGTTCCTGGCATAGTAAACCATATAAGTGTCCAGTTCAACATGGCCAATACTTGTCATGGGTATCATGAACTGAATCTTTATGTGTTTCATTTTTGACGACTTCCAATTTTCCTAGATACATATTTTGTTCATTCCACCTATTAATAGGTGTATGCAGCTGTTTCTTCTCATTCTCAGTTATATCCCATCAGCAAAGGAAGGTTTTGAAAGCTTTGCCCCATCCGTATCATTAAAAAGTCAACTCCATGTTCAGGAGGCAGCTCTTCCACAGTCATATTTTGACTGCCTTCCAATATGAGGGGCTCATCTTCCAGTACTATATCTGACAATATTCTGTGCTATTCAGAAGGTTTTCAGTGGCTAACCACTTGTAAGTGGTTTGCTTCTCCTTCTTCCTACACTTTCTTAATCAGGAAGCTCTGCTGAAACCTGTCTACTAGGTGATGTATTAGTTTCACTCCACCCAACCCTTCTCCAGCTCTGATAGCTATCATTATTGCCACTGCTACTTATAATTGTCAATTATGGTATAGGTTGCCACAAAAAAGCCTTTGACTATAATCTTCCATATACAAAGTAAAACATAGCTTATATGTGGAAAACCTTCCCCACATTAAAAAGAATAAACTCAGAAGTCTAACTGGACCACAAGGTCGGTTTGAACCACAAGGTCAGTGGTTCAAAGTCACCAGTTGCTCCTCAGAACTCTTATACAGGATCACTATGAGTTGGAACCGTCTCGATGATACTTAACAACAATAACATGGTGCTTACCAATGTATTTAAAAATTAAAATTATCATTGCATAACTAATGAAATCCAATATACATCTATGAGTTTAAAAGTTGTACAAAGACTATACCCAATATGCTGTATTTCTGAAAACTGTTTTAAATCTCTTGGGTAGAGTTTTTCACTAGTTTATACTTACCTAGAAACAACGTCCCGTAATTTTCTGCTTTCAAAATAAATGTTTTCATCATTTCAAGGTAAATTTAGATAGCATGCAGATAAATCAGTATCTTTGGAGATATTTCTAGTATTATCTCAAGTCACTACCAAAAAGAAAACCAATAAGTTTGAAATTATAGCTTACCCTACACAATCCACCTCTTTGGGATAATTTAGTGAGCGAAGTACTTGTTCGAGGTTCCGTAGGCTTCTTTTTAAGTCACCTGTTGCCATTATATAACATTAAATTCACCTCCAGCTCTTGAAAAATTTAGTATTTTGCCTAAAATAAAAATCCATGAACAAGATTTTAAGTCTGTATATTTTTTCAAGCTTCTCTATTCAGTTTATATTTCTATGGGTGTTTATCAGTAGTTATCACACACTGGCTTTATTATTGTTATTAAACGTCGTCAAGGCAGTTCTGACTTATAGTGACCCGGTATAGGGTTTCCAAGTAGCAGCTGGTGAGTCTGAACTCCCAACCTTGTGGTTAGTAGTCCAGTGCTGGTCCTACAGCACCATACCAAGACTCCCATATACAGGCTATTTACCTCTAATTTATCTTCCATATTTGTGTAGTACTGCTTTGTATCTATCACATGCCTGAATATAATGAGAACTTTTTTCTCCCACGTTTTTTTCTTTATAATCATGTTCTTACAATGTGTCTTTTAGAACACTCTGCCCAAAAACTTCATCTTGAATACAAATGTACTACTTGAGAAAACATAAGAACCTGAATAAGTAATTCTCGACCTCTTACATTACACTAGTCACAAAATGAATCCCACGTTTATGGAACATCTAAATGTGAATGGTAAAACAAGGGAAGGAAGTCACTGAGTAAAACATATTAGCAATATATGGCTTATATCTATATTTTAAAAACCTACAAAGCAATAAGAAAGAGACAACTCAATAGAAAACTGGACAGTAGACTTGAACAGGAACTTTACAAAGTAATATATGAAAAGATACTCATAAAGATACCCAACCTTATTAGGAAATTACAAAGTAAATAAAAAATACAAGGTTATAGAGCATCTCAAATGCTCACATAATACTGTAAAAGCATGAACTGGCATAATTACTTTAGAAAACAGATTGGCAATATCTACTAAAGATGACATACATAGCACCTGTGAAAAAGAACACAAATTCCTGTAAAATATACATGTTATTGATTGAATTTTTGTTGTTGTTGTTAAGTGCCGTCGAGTCGGTTTCGACCCATAGCGACCCTATACAGGGTTTCCGAGGGTGTAAATCTTTACAGGAGTAGAAAGCCTCATCTTTCTCCCGCGGAGCAGCTGGTAGTTCCGAACCGCTGACCTTAAGGTTCGCAGCCCGATTCGTAACCACTACGCTACCAGAGCTCCTTTTATGACCCTACAAATATGTGCTATATTGCTCCATATAATAAGCACTAGACTGAGAACCACAAGGTCGGCAGTTTAAGCCCATCTACATCGGGCTGCAAACCTCAGGGTCAGCAGTTCGAAACTACGAGCTGTTCCGCGGGAGAAAGATGAGGCATTCTGCTCCCGTAAAGATTTACAGCCTCGGAAACCCTGTACAGGGTTGCTATGAGTCGGAACCGACTCCACGGCATATAACAACAACAACAGCTATACATAAGAAAGAAGAAACACAGGTTGGCAGTTCAAGCCCATCAGTTGCTACTCAGGAGAAAGCTGAAGCTGTCTGCTCCCACAAAGATATGCAACCTCAGAAACCCTACACAGGGCTGCTATGAGTCAGAACAGACTCAAAGGCAATTAACAACAATAATGTTGCTGTTGTTAAGTGTCATCGAGTCAGTTCTGACCCATAGCGACCTTACAGGGTTTCCAAGGGTGTAAATCTTTATGGGAGTAGAAAGCCTGATCTTTCTCCCGTGGAGCGGCTGGTAGTTTCGAACCGCTGACCTTAAGGTTTGCAGCCCGATTCGTAACCACTACGTTCCAAAGAGAGGTGACCCAACAGAATGCGGAAATCATCGGACAATCTCTTTGATATCTCAAGCGAGTAAAGTTTTGCTAAAGGTAATACAGAAACGGCTACAATCATACATTGGCAGAGAACTTCCAGAGGTTCAAGCTGGATTCAGAAGAGGCCGTGGAACGAGAGATATCATTGCTGATGTCCAATGGATCTTGGCTGAAAGCAGAGAATATCAGAAGGATGTTTACCTGTGCTTTATTGACTACACAAAGGCTTTCGATTGTGTGGATCATGACAAACTATGGACAACATTGAGAAGTATGAGTATTCCAGAACACTTAATTGTACTTCTAAGAAATCTGTACCTAGACCAAGAAGCAGTTGTTAGAACAGAACATGGGAACACTGAAAATTTTAACATTGGCAAAGGTGTGAGACAGGGTTGCATTCTTTCACCATACTTATTCAACCTGTATGCTGAGCAAATAATACCAGAAGCTGGGTTCTATGAAGAAAAACATGGCATCAGGATTGGAGGAAGACTCATTAACAACCTGCGATATGCAGATGATACAACCTTGATCGCTGAAAGTGAAGAGGACTTGAAACATTTACTTATGAAGATCAAAGAGCACAGCCTTCGATATGGATTATATTTCAATGTCAAGAAAACAAAAATCCTCACCACTGGACCAATAAACAACATTCTTATCAATGGAGAAAAGATTGAAGTTGTCAAAGACTTCATTCTTCTTGGATCAACTATCAACACTCGCGGAAGCAGCAGTCAAGAGATCAGACGACGTATTGCACTGGGCAAATCTGCTGCACAGGAACTTTTGAAAGTATTGAAGAGCAGAGATGTCAGCTTGAGGACTAAGGTACACCTGACTCAGGCCATTGTGTTTTCAATAGCGTCATATAGATGCAAAAGCTGGACAGTGAATAAGGAAGATCGTAGAAGAATTGATGCCTTTGAGTTGTGATGTTGGAGGAGAATACTGAAAGTGCCATGGACTGCCAAAAGAACCAATAGATCTGTTTTGGAAGAAGTGTAGCCAGAGTGCTCCTTGGAGGCCAGGATGGCTAAGCTTCGTCTCTCCTACTTTTGACATGTAGTCCGGAGGAAACAATCGCTGGAGAAGGATGTCATGCTGGGTAGGGTGGAGGGTCAGAGAAAAAGAGGAAGACCTCTAAAGATGCCAGGTGGCATCATTGATGGACTCAAGTGTGGCAGCAGTAGTGAGGTTGGCCCAAGATCGGACATTGTTTCGTTCTGCTGTGCATGGGGTCGCTATGAGTTGGTTCCGACTTGATGGCACCTGACAACAACAACAACACGCTAAAGGCAACAACAATAATACCTGCTGTTATAATCCCATTTGGGAATAGGTTTTCTTTGTTGTGTTAATGAGAAAATAGTAGGGGGTATTTTAAATAAATCTCTTTTAAGACATAAGATAGCAGATTAAACAAGAAAGTAAACAAGTAAAGATTGGGAAGACAGATGTCATGCCACAAGATGATCACCAAGTTAGTCAAGGAATAGAAGCTAAAGAGACAAGGACCTTCCCTCAACATACAAATAAAACCTTCCCCTAGAGGGCACTCTCTATTTGGAATTACAGCCTCTATAACTGTGAGAAAATAAACTTGTTTGTGAAAGCTGTCCTCTGATGATATTTCTGATATAGTAGCACTGAATAACTAAGACAATACATAACAAAAATACATGTATGTGTGTAGCAAAAGATGTGTAAAATAGTTAAGACTTTTAAATAGATGATTCTTTTTTATATTCCAAAGAAAGCAATGCCATGGAGTTAATTTTAAGTGACTCACTTTACTGAATGGAGTAGGGCTTTCATATAGAGTCTTTGGGAAGTGTAAATGGTTAAGTGCTTGACTACTAACCTAACTACCAACCAAAAGCTTGGCGATGTAAACCCATGCAGGGAGTCCTGGTGTGGCGCTGTGGGCTAATGTGCCAGACTGCAAAGCCGTTTGAACTGCAAGGTCGGCGGCTCAAGCTCACCAGCTGCTCCTTGGAAACCCTCTACAGGGTCGCTATGGGTCGGAATCGACTTGACAACAACAACAACAACATAGGTGCCTTGGAAGGCAGTCCTGGCAATCTGTTTCCAAAAGGTCACAGCCTTGAGAACCCCAATGAGCTGTGCACATATGGGGTTGCCATGACTTGGAACTGATTCAACAGCAACTAGTAATAGAATCTTCATTGGACTCTCAAAAGAGGTTATTCTCAAAGAAGATGTGAAATCAATCAATCAATCCTTAAGAAACTTTGCTGGCAGAACATGTTTTGGGACCAGGTATCAAATAAGAGTCTGATATATAATATATATCATACCAGAATATATAAAGAACTACAACTTAATAAAATGATAAACAACTCAATTTGAAAAATGGGCAAATGACTTGAACTTACATTTCAGCAAAGAAAACATACAAATGGCCAAGAAGCACATGGAAAGATGGCCATAGTTATTAGCGATTGTTATTGTTAAGTGCCATTGAATTGGTTCCAACCCACAGTAGCCCTGCATAGGGTTTCCAAGGAGCAGCTGGTGAGCTTAAACCGCCAACCTTGTGGATCAAACCAACTTTGTAGTCCAGCACATTAATCTACAGTGCCACACCAGGACTCCTCATTAGCCATTAAAATCCCCAAACCAAACCGTCATTGAATGGATTCTGATTCACAAAGACCCAACAGGACAAAGAACTGTGCCATAGGGTTTTCAAGACTGAATATTTATGGGAGCAGATAGCCTCACCTTTGTCCCATGGAGTGGCTGGTGGGTTTGAACTGCCGACTGTGCAGTTACCAGTCCAATGCTTAACCCACTACAATACTAGGGTTCCTTTCATTAATCATGAAAAAACTAGACCCTGTGCCATTGAGTCTATTGTGACTCACAGCGACCCTGTACGGTTTCCGAGGCTGTAAATCATTTAGCAACAGATACTCTCATCTTTCTCACAAAGAGCTAGTTTGAACTGCCAGCCTTCTAGTTAGCTGTCTAGTGCTTATCCTACAGTATTAGCAGGACTCCCTTTTATCAGCCGTTGTTGTTGAATTGGTTCCAACTCATAGTTACCCTGTATAGGTTTCTGAGAGCATCTGGTGCTCATAGCAACCTATATAGGGTTTCAGGGAGCAGCCCATGTGTTTGACCTGCCGACCTGTGGTTAGAAGTCCAGTGCTTATCCTACAGTGCTACATCAGGTCTCCAATCCGTCACTGGTGTATTGATATATGCTGT